GGATCCTGTCCATGTGCGTTGTACCCCCACCTCTGTCAGATGCTGAGGACACTTGATGTGGTTTCTAACACCTGAATGGCCTCCTCTCACCCAGCCCTGTCTCCTAGTTCCACATATATAATTAATTTGCAACAGCAAATATGTTTTGAAGGAAGTGACTTAATTATATTTTATATTAACATAATGATGAAATGTCAATTCATGTAGTTAATGTATAAGTCACAAATATATTGATATTGAGCATCTCAGTAAAATATTCACAGATGTTGTTTTCCAAAGCAGTCACCACTCTCAGCCACGCCCCAGGCCCTGCCCATCTCTGAGTGCTTACCTGAAATCTGCTATATTTTTATTGGATCACTCAGAAAACAGTCAGCCAATCAGAAGAGAGGCTGAGAGCCTCCTTTCTTCTGATTGGCTCACTGACCTGTTGTTACTAGAGCTCCAGAGAGAAGCCTGAGAGAGGAGATATAAAACTACACTGAGATGGTTTTTGGTTCTTAAAACCAGAAATATATCTTCTGATGGATCAACACTTCAAATAAAACACAGAAGAAGAGGGAAATATGGAGCTTTATCTAAAGCCACAATTTTCACTAACCTTAAAAGGTAGCCAACATTTTCATTAGGCTAAAAGCTGTTTACTCAAAACTTCATCAAACTTTATTCCTTTACTCATCAACAGCTGTCTCCAGCTGTGGAAACAAACACCAATGTTAACTCTTGTTTTGCCTATATTCCTATCTCCTCTTTTCTTCTACTTCTACTACTTCCACTACAAGTTAGCATGCTAACCAGCTAGCCTCGGCCCATTCTGTCTCGTGCTACTAGACCTACTTTGTGATAATGATTCACTGTAGCATCCATCCATCCATTTGCATGAGAGGATGAAGAAGTAGTGCTGCCCAGAGGGCGTATTCTTAGCAAGTGACCATTATTACCACCATCGTCACCACCACCACCATCACCACCCGCTCCTGGCAAGAAAAAATTGTTCATCAGCCAGGAAAGGCTGAGCTGCTGTTGGTGCATGCTGTCCCTTTGTTACCCTTGTTAGAAGGCACCATACAAGATGATCAACAGTTTTCAGTAGCTCAGCAGGTTGTAGATCATTAACCGTGTTACCTACCACACACTCTACACCGATATATTGATGAAAAAGAAACATCATGGTTGCTTGCAGCTTTCAAACACTCCATTAACCACTCTCATTCTTGGAAGGAAGAAAAGCAGTGGTTGAGTTTTCAGTCACGTTTTCCTCCTTTGACACTCTGTGGTTCTTTGGATGGAAATCCATTTAGGTTTAACTCAACCAGAAACTGCCTCCGAAGCAGCTCTGTCTTCACGAAATGTTTGTATAACTCCAGCCTGCTCTCTACGAACTGTCACATCGACCCCTGCCAATAGAAGGTTGGAAGTGAGAGCAGAAAATATAGAGAGGTGGGGGTGGACGATGGGGCGTAACAGAGACAAGGGATAGAGGAGTAAGAGGCAAGAGGAGACACACACACACACACACACACACACACACACACACACACACACACACACACACACACACACACACACACAAACACACACACTTGTGCAGCTATCCTTGTTAGGACATTGCACTGACTTCCATTCATTGTAGACAGCCTAACACAAACCCTAATCTAACCTTAACGAGCACTTTTACTTTTGGCACGTTTGGGGACATGATCTAGACTTGTTTTCATTTAATGGAGACCCAAACCCAAACCCTTAGCCTGACCTAAAGCCGTCCCCCAATTTACTGGTCTTTGTTCCCAAAAGTGACTTAACTCAGACCGCCATCTCCCCGCCAACCCACCCCCTATACGCACACACACTTACAAGCACTTTTAACAGGAGAGGGTGGGGAGGAAAGTGTTGAGGTGTGCCAGAAGGCCCTCAGTCAAAACTCCAGTAGATGGAGCTGTGGCCTGGCCTCTCAGCTGTCAAAGGGCCCTTTCATGGTGGAGGCAGCTGGAATGCAGCAGCCAGCAGTCTTACTCAGCTCTGGATGGAAAAGCATCCTATTGCCCCCAATTACACATTTTCCAAGTCTGTAGATAAATGTAATCAATGACAGCTACTGCCTAAGACCAGGCTCAGAGAAGCTCAGCTCAGTTCTTGGTTGTCTTGGTTTTCTTTTAGTGTACCCACAAAACAATATGACAAAATACTACAAAACTGTGTTGTGGGGTGCACGGTTTACAGGTGAGGTCAATGGCATCTGACAGCAGCTAATGGCCCCTAGAGGCTGCAGTGTTCATTGCACCCCACAGTACAAGTTAAAGGAAACAAACAACATATGGATGACTCTGTTTTCGAAGGGTCTTACCGGTAGTGTGTAAAATTTAAATTTAGTGCTGTGTAATTTAGTGGTATGCATTTAAAACAAATGTGCAAATTACTAATTTACTAAAAAAAAAATATGGGGCTATTTGGGTCCCTTAGGATCTGGGGGGCCTGGGGCAGTTGGATGCCTTGTTTACTCTGCCCTGTTGGTGATCCAGCTTTGTAAAACCAGGAACCCAAAGATCGGACTGAACATGTGGAACATCTAAAGTTAAAGTCAGCTGACCTGTCATCATTTGAACTATGTTTTAACATGGATAGATGGAGTTCAGATAAAGGGGTTAGATTGTAGGGAGATGCTTGTATGTGGTAAATACAATATACAGACATGATCATCTAACTAGCAGAAGAGAGGCAGGATTAGTTTCTATATAGGATGCCAATTCTCACTTTCAACCTATTCACCAGTTCTTTATAGGCCTTTCAAAGAAAGAAGAAGTGTTTGGATGCCAGCGCGTGATATATGTCACATCATCTGTTTTCTTTGACCAGTGTTTCACAGAGATATGATTGATAAAAGAAGGCTGAAAGGAATCAAGAGCACAAGAGATAAACAAGTGTTTTATAAATGGGTGTTGCTCAATTTGCTTTTTTCTGGACAGAAAGAAGGTGAACCTGTGAGGTAGTTCTCATCTTGAGCCTTCAGGAAGACCTAGGACAGTGATTTTTGGTCCCACCCACTATAAATCAAACTGCGATTGGTTAATTCACCTGCCACAAGCACATGTGGCTGCAGGGCCTTCAGGCCTTCTGTCCCGGTAAGACTGCATTGTGAGTGTCGTAGACCACCTCCTCTGTTTCATGATGGTTGTTCCAGTTTGACATAGACACTTAAACGTCTTCAAGAGCCTCAGACAAGTCCAATTGCCTTTGTCTACTGTAGCTCTTAGAGATACCACCACCTGGATGACTGAGAATCTTCAGTGTAAAAGATGTGGACCTTTATCAGACAGGGAGGGTTTAATAAAAACATGCCATTGGCTGCTCTGTGGGAAATGTAGATGTGTTTCATGTTCTTTAAAGGGGGAAGATCACTCTTTGTTGGTGACTTCTGCAGTAGATTGTAAAAATAAGCAACAGCTATAAACTCAATGTTTTACTCATCAGTTTCATGCTTTGTACTGGAACTAATTAAAATGGCATCATCCCTATTAAATAAATAAATAAAATAAAATAATCAATCACAGATATGAGCCGTGGGCTGAGTGTGATCTAGGGAACATCAAAGACTAGTGTTTTGTTTTGATGCTTATGCTTCATCCTTGCAGTATGACTAGGAGAACTACGCCTGACACAAGACATAGTGAATACAAATCTAGCATCTGCATCTGATGCTGAAATAATCCATCCGTCTCATATTGAAGGAGGCCTGTCTCCATTTCGTCTTACATCTATGGCCGGATTAAAGTCCAATCTACACAGGGAAGTATGGCTACTGAAAGGAATGCAGTGGTTTTAGTCTCTACAGTCCTCACACCACAAACTTCTACCACCACCCACATCTGTCCAGCACATGCTCTGTATCACAGGGAAGACAGGAGCCAATGCCAAGTCGACTCGCACTAATAACTGAGCCGTGAATCGTGTTCACTTACATGTGCCGATTCTGATTAGCTCCCAGGGAGAGCCGGGTCCAATCACACTGGCCCGAGTATCCATTACACATGTTCCTCTAAAATACTGTGTTGTGTAAATCAGAGGGAAAACCCAATTTGCCTCACAGCCAGACTGAGAGAAGTGACGGCATCCTCTACAGACAACAAACTGTCATCGTGAAACCAAACATAAGATATGACTTTTAGCTAATTCATGTCTGTCATATTTTTTTTGTCAGTGCATTTTAACCTGTTTGTGTTTTCCCTGTCAGTGGAGAGGCCTAGAGGTCTCATTATATCTGAGATAAACTAAATGTTTTGTTGGTTATTTTGGTAAAGAACCCTTTAATCAGGAAATGTAGTCTTATAACAGAACATTGCAACATCCCAAATAGTTGCTTGCTCTTATTTGGCTTTGACATTTAATTGGGTGATTCCAGAGAGTGAGACAGGATGTGATTGAGGAGACAGAGCTGTGCTCCAACAGGGTGTGATTTACAGCTCAGCTCCGACCCCAGTTAACCCCTGCACGCAGCCCCCAATTCCGATGTTAGAGCGGTGTGGGGGATGGGGGTTCAGACACTGTTTGACAATCTGGCTAGCACTTCCTGTGAATGATTCTGACACCTTAAGGAGGTGCTAGTGACCAGTTAGGCATGCTTCCGATAGAGAAGGCCCTGTGGTCCCTATGAAGACGTTCATAACTCAGAAACAAACGCCATATTCATTCATTCTTATAGCACCACTATCAAACCAAAATTTTCAGTGTTACACAGGAAATATCAAAACCAATGGATTGTTTGCTATGAAACTTACTGAGGTCATTCATTCTTCCCACAGGATGAATAATTTCCATTTTAGACACTCAAGCCAAACCAACCAACCTTGCACACAACGCAGTCATACTCAGACTGATTGTCCTCAATATTTCTAATGGCCTTTTCAAGCACCACAAATTTTAATTCTCCACTGCTGCCAAGCCTGTACAAACAGTTCTTCACGTAGTTCCCTTTGTTAATGACTTCTCTATTGCTGTTTCTGCAGCTGATCCAGGTCCTGATACAGATGGTCTGGCTGAAGCTCAAAGTGGTGCTGCACCTACAGCTGAAGGTAAGATGAAAACTCCTCGTTTTGTCCACTAACACCTTTAATATGTCGTATCTGATTTGCTTATCCATACAAAAACACAGATGTAGAAATGTTTTAGAGATTGCATCATGCTGGAACAGTGACTATGCATGGTTTCCTGGAGTTGTGTCATCACAGTAAGGTTGCCAGGTGTGGCACTCTTGTGCTCCAACAAAGAACAAGGCTGCAGTCGAAAAGTCTTTTTTTTCTTATGAAGGTTCAAACTGAGTGAAATGAGCTGAAGTATCTGAGCAGCACCATGACCACAGCTGCTCCACTTGAGGAGGAAAGGAGCTTCAATGCTTCCTATCTTATCTCCTTTAGTAAAGGAAACACTTGACCTTTACTAGAGAAAAGGAGAAATGCCATCCCACAATAGCACCACAATGTGGTTTCACCACAGCAGACACACGTAAATGTAGAAACATCAGAGCAGCTGTTTTGTGTTTGTGACTTGATCCAGAAATGATGGAAATCCTGGTCTGATCGACTGAAGCCCAAATCCATAAATATAGATTTATTCTCTTTAAATCCAGTGAGGAGTCATGAACAACAAGCAGGTTGAATTTATAGTCAACAATATCATCATCATAACAACATACTACAGTCTATACTTAAATGTTGTTTCATTAAATCCCCTCTCTTTGTGTAAAGCACTAAAAATTTATTTTATCTAGTTAACAAATGTATAAAAATGTCAAAAGTGCCTACAACAGGAAACCATGTACTCCTGAATATAATTTATTGATCTGATCATTTATTCTCTTGCAGAGTTCCTTGTTTTTCTATTTAATTATTATTTCAATGGCTCAGGTTTCTCTACTTTTATTTTTCTTTCATGTCATCTTATTTCAACATTTCAATCCTGTTTGTTTTGTTTTTGTGGTTAGAGGAGCATTTATCCTCCATGTGTTATAAATAAAGTTAGTTAAAAAACATCTAAGTGTAAGTACAGTCGGATTCTTTTCCTAAGTTCTTATGAATTCTCCTTCACATCTTTCCTTCACCTCATGAGGTTTCCATGAAGGTCAAGAAGTGGTTAGGAAAGGAGCCAATTTGTCTTTTTGACTGCAGCCTAAAACCAGAAGCTGTGCTCATCAAGTGTATCTGACAACCAGCACTGAAGCTGGGTACACTGAAATAGTGCACAGCAGAGTCTGTTTCAGTTGTTTCAAACTAACAGTCTTCAGCAGTCTTTCCTCGTGGCAACAGTCAGGCACAATCAGCTGTGTTAAAGAGTTCATTAATGATTAGAAACAGATCTGTTAATGTCTCTGCCTTCTGGTTTTAAAGCCCTGCCCTCTCAGCAGCGTGGTGTGTGTTCAGTGCGGCCTCCTCTGAACATCAGTCACGTTATAATTTAAGGGGAAGCTTCAACACTGGCACCGTCTAGTTAATACCAGGGTAGAGAAATGACCATGTAGGGACCAAAGTGAACTGAGTAGTAACAGTTTCCATCAACATTTAGAACAGAAAGAAAATAATACAGAGCTGTCTGTGTCATTATTCTTTCTTCGTTATAATTATTTTACAGTTTCAGAGCACATTGTTTATGTGTGTTACTTATGTAATAGTAAGTGAGGTCACAGTTTGTACTACAGTCGGACAATTCATTATGGGAACATAGAATATTTACAGCGTGGATGTTTGGTGTCTTTTGTTTTTTTTTTTGTTGTTTTTTTGCTAAATAGTCAACAGTAGCATTAACAACTGTTTAAAATTTGTGACATTTTGACTGAAACCAAGACCTATTTGATCAAGTATAGGAGTCATAGGGGCCAGGAATTCAACACCATTTGGCAGCCTTTGGATTGTTTCAAAGTGTACAGTCTGTGCAGTCAGAGATTTTGGGCTGCACACAGACGTCTGCAGAGGGGTCCACGTGGACCCTCACGGAGGGAAGGACATGGAAAGTATTAATTGGCTTTAACCCTACATACAGTATCTGTATAGTGGAAAAATGCTGAAGTGCTTTGGTGGTAGATCTTTGTCCTTCAAATTTCCTGTAAAGTCTCTGGCAGGTTACACATTTATGTAGCATAGACTGGATGAGCCTTTTTCCACCTCACAGCCCCACAGGCCTGCCGCTCTAATGGCTCCCTCTGTGAAATGATGGCCTTGGTATTTCACCTGGTCATGGTGCGAAGGAGCAGTGCAGAGATGTGGCTCTTTTTATGGCGGATAACAAGGTTTTTCTCTCCTGTGTCCAAGTGTGCAAGTTTCAACCTGCCTCTAATGCAGGTGAGATTATATTGAGGAATCACACTGAGCTGGAGACATGTGTCCTTCTTAGCCAGAGGTTTCTCTTTCACCAGCACAGTGGATTCTCCCAGAAAGGCTTGGTGATTACATTGGTGGCTTGAAACGGCTCATCTCAGGCTACGCCCACACGTTTTCATTTTAAAATGGCATTTTCAATCTCTGTCCACACTGTCACACCTGAAAACACATACATACGTCATCGTTTCCAAAGGTCGCAGTTTCTGTCCATCCAGACTACAACACAACTCCAGAGTTTTCAAAATAAAACACAACCCCAGAGTTTTCAAAATAAAATAGGTCAGCAGAGTTTCCAAAAGTCTCAGTTTTTGATGCTGGAAACCTCTGAGTAGTGTGGACGGCAGGAGGAAACTTAAAAAGAAAGGCATTTTAAAAAGAAAATGTAGTAGTGTGGACATAGCCTGAGATATGAGATAAGTGATGCCATCCTTTAGACCCCAGAATCTGGTTTGAACACTTGAAAAACCCAGCTCTGCCGATGAGAAAGGGTGCAGTTCTTACAAGTGAGCTAAAGGTGGATGAATTCTTGCTTTAGTCTTTCAAATGAAGCAGCTCACCTCTGGGTGAATCTCTACCTCCTCTTCAGCATGTACCAGTTCAAATGTCCTGTACGCATGTGTAGGAACAGTTAACTGATGAGCCATGTTGTCTGTGTTAGGTGAAATTCAGGAGGTTTTCAAAAAGAATAACATGTTGATAGCATCTAGCTTCAAGGTCAGGTTGATCACAAATGAGTTCTGCAAATTCCACATCTTAACACATACTTCAAGTCAAGGAACGGTTGGTTCTGAGTGGGAGGCTTCTTCAGTTGTATGAAGTTTTCACACGGGTTAAGAGCGGCTGGATGGCTGTTCTTCATGTTGGTCTGGAATGTGCTCGCATTTGTCTTATGAGTACTTCCCACACATATGAGTAATCTGCTGCCTGACCTTAGAACCCTGACATTGTCTCTTCCAAGCGAGAGAAGTGCTTTGGTATCTGAGTCAAGCTTTGGAACATCAGTAGGTCTGTTTCTCAGATGAGACCAAGAACGTCTCCCAGCGCTATTAATGGGGGTTTATGGAGGAGATTTTCAGAAACTGTCAAGTTTAAGTAAAGCACCTTCATAAGTTCAGGAGAAGAGTAGTGTTCGCGGGGCCATTCCCAGGCTTCACTTAGAACTGCTTCTGGGTCGCTAACCTGGACTCGACTCTTCTTTTCACACGGACAGCAGATACTCCTCGTTAGCAGACCTCATTCCTCACTGGCCCCTAACAGCATTTTTGAAAGTTGACTGTCACCGTCCATATGCACTTGTATGCTCAGCAGTGTGCTTGTTCGACAGTGGCTTGCTCAAACTAACAAATATGCCTGGAGGGCAGAATATTAGTTGCAATCAAAAGTATAGTATACATAAAAATATATGTGTTACACAATTAAAACCCAACAATGCTTGTCCTGCTCATTTGTTTACACTATTGACCACGATGGTCTAATACCCCCAAAATGATTTTAAGAGATAGCTATCATGACAACAGATTTCTAATGTCGCACAGTATGTCATCATATCAACCAACCCTACCTGACAGTTGTATATACTTGGTGTTATTGGTCGAGACCAGCAAAGTATTAAGGTTTGTTCCCAGCCGAAGCATGATATCAGTAGATCAACAGTTGGCAGCTGAGCAGAACAGTTTTAAGGCAAGCAGATATCATATTCACATGATGTCAAAGCCTCTAATCAGCACATGAACGCACCATAATTCAGCAGTTTGTATTTGGGCCAAATATCATATTTGATAGGAAAATCTCCTTTATGAAGTTTTGGCATTTGCTGCATTTGTTGAGTGGCCATTTCTTAGACAAACAGGCTGATGGTCCAGTGGACTGGATGGTGAACCGGCTTTGGAAGCTCTCCAGAGCGCTGGCTTTGAGACAAAGCTGATTTTCATGACCTCCATCTCTTGGGGATAAGACGGATCAATCAGCCAGTTTAGCCTTGATATTTGAGACAACATACTTTACTAGTCTCAAAGTTGTTTGACTTTTGACCAGGACTAATGACGTCTAAATCTCCCAGTGGATTATTGAGTACATGCAGGCGTGTTGCCTTTACCTCTGCTGGACTGGGATACGTTCTACGAGAGTGTGGTGGTGATTGATAAAAGAGTTAAAAAGTGCTGATTGCAGTGTTGTGCATACCTCAGATTTTGATCACTCCTCCGTACAGACTGTCACTGTGTCAACAAAAGCTGATGCCAACAATGGCCACACCATTTATATATACACCTTAGTTTATTGGGGTTTTGAGAAATCAGACAAATGAGAGGGAAAGGGCTTAGACTTGTCTATATAGGTAGACACAAGAAATGAAATGAGGATGAGGTGAGGTCTCGCTCCTGAACCTGAGGGTCAGGTCAGATGAAGGAGGTCAGGTACAAAGGCCTGCAGACGTCGAGGAACTAGGGTTGCCACCCGTCCCGGTTTTCCCAGGATTGTTTTCTTTTTTGAGGAACTGTCCTGGAAAATTAACATTCTTTCCTGGAATATGAATTGTCCTGGTTTATGTGAAAACGCACGTCTAATTTAGAATTTCATAATTTCAAATAAAACTTCATTTGTTTTCCAATCCTGTGTCTGTAAATGGATGAAGACGGGTACAACAGTGCCCAATTTACCTTATTACCTAGCAACTAGCGGCTCCTTGGATCTTTTGGCTGTGTGTGGCTGTGGTAAGCATGTGATGATCAGCAGAAGAGGATGTTGATGGTACGGTCAGTTTTGCTTTACGGAGTGGAGATGGAAGTGTCACAGTGGTCCGCAGGATGAAATGGGTTGTAGGTTTAAGTAGTGAATAATGCTAGGAGAAAGTAGTCGTAGTACTTTGATTAACATATTGATGTGAGGGTAGAGCTCCAGTGAGTAGACTGATGAGGACGTTAAACCCATTGATGTAAACTTGGATGTTGGACGTTCTTATTTTGAGAAGTGAAGTGAGGTGATGAAGCTGATGATGTCAAGGAAAGGAAAAGGCAGGCTACACCAGGCGTGAAATGTGAGTAATACGACGACTGTGGCCTGCTGGGATTTGGTGATTGGAGGGAGAAGCTGCGGTTCAGTTGGAGATGTTGACTGAAGATGCTGGGGCTGCTGTAGAATGGGAATGTGAGCTGTGATTAGGCAGAGCAGCACTGACCCCCTGAAGGGTGAGTTTACTGTCGGAGTCCTTTACCACTGCTGCCTGTCAGCTGTTTTATCTTTCCCTTCCTGCCCCGCCCTCACACCCTAACTCACTCATTCAGAGAGCTGCAGCACATCCTTTAATGACGGCTGAAGACGTTATGATTAAAGAGCTGCGTGGTGACATCACTCATCTGTGGGCTGCTCTCTGGGGAGCTCTGCTGTGGTCAGGTTGGGGAGCTGGCCACACATCTGTTTTTCCATTGTGTAAACTCCAGAGCCAGGCTGCTGCCCGACATGCAGATGGTACTGAGAGCCAGGGGACTTCTGAGTGAGTGTGTGTTTATCATTGTCTTTGCTCCTGAACCGTTCCGTTTTATTCCCTTATTCAGCAATCTACTTGGCTGACAGGAGTCCCTAGAGAGTCAGGAGTACTGAAAAACATTCCTGCATCATCTCTGCGTTCTAACATAATGAAGACCAAGGCTGAATCAGAGATACGTTATTTCTAGTAGATAGTATCCTGATTCAAATATTAATTCTAACTCTAAATATTCTAAACTACATTGTAATTCCGCCTAAATACTAGTAAAGCCCTTCTCCAGTGTGTCCACCCAAAACACAGGCAACTGGGGCAACAGCTGTGCACTTTATATTCTTTTTAACGAGTAACACCTGGAGCTCCACAGTTTTAATGAGAAAACAGGTAGACATGTGGCTGCAACATAGACTGTAAATAAAGATGGACGTAGCCTCTGTGATGCCACCCACAGGTTTCTGAAGAGCGGTTTTGAAGCTCAGAGTGAGCTGCTCTACTGTCGCCATCTTGACAGTTCCTGACTCCGCAGCTAACCCCCAGTTAATCCAAAAGTCATCAAAGAGGAGGGGCGTGTGTGGAGCTGATACTTCGGTGCATGCTAGTTTGTGGCAAGCGTACACTCTTAATAAGCCTTAATATCAGTCTTAATAAAATGTAAACAGGTGAGTTATATAAATAGGTGTCATGAAGGAGGGAATTAGCTCTAGAGACCCAAACTGTTTTTGTACCAGGCTGTAAACATGTTTATTTCTGCTGTAAAGTTCATTTTAACATGGGAGTCTATGGGGACTGACTCACTGCTGGAGCCAGACTCTAGTGGTCATTAGAGGAACTGTAGTTGGTGCTTTATTGTTGGCTTCATGTTTCAGCCTCAGAGGTGGATGTTAGGCTGAGATGAACAACATGATGCGATGGAGACTGGGATCACATTGATGTCACAATATGAAGATTAAGCAGAGATGCGAACCATTAAATTATCAGACTGCCATCAATCATTCCTCTTGTAAAATAGGCAAATCTAGACTGAATTAAACATTATGAATAATTTCAGAGATACAGTATTTTTTAATTTTACTTTATACATGGCACTGAGGTGGTATTAAGCAGCAGGTGGTTATGGATCATTGTATGACAGATGAAACGGTGCAGCATCAACGTGATGATCATAAGATCCTCAACATGTCCAGAGTGTTTTAAAAAGTGAATTCAGTTGCTCCTGGCTGTGTATTTCAGCTGCTGTGTTTCATCTCCAGGTTATTTCCTGGAGTTCCAGGGGCCAGTCAACAACATCACCCACTTCCAGGGCCAGACAGCCACGCTGCACTGCAGAGTGACGGGAAACCCTCGACCCTCCATCCGCTGGCTGAAGAACGATGCCCCTGTGGTCCAGGAGCAGGGACGCATAACCATCCGCAAGACGGAAGCGGGGTCAAAGCTCCGCATCCAGGACCTGGACACCACAGACACTGGCTACTATCAGTGTGTCGCCTCCAACTCGCTCAAGGTCATCTCTGCCACAGGCGTCCTGTATGTTAAACTAGGTAAGGTTCACACTATTTATACATTGTCTTCATTATTTAGGCCTAAACCATATGTGTACGACTCTGAATCTGAAGTGTTTAATGATTGCCTTTCTTTAATGCAGGGTTTTTAATCAACATCTGTTCCCACAGAGTCTCAGTGACATGAGCAGCTTGTGTTTTTTCTGTTTGTTTGTTTTTGGGCCTTAAATGTTGTTTTGCATCGTAGAAACTGTAAGATATTCCATATTATTCCATATTGTCAGAGTTTTTTTAAGTAAACAAGAGGCCATGCATATAGAGTCATAAGGCTGAATAGATCACAGTATAAGATAGATAGATAGATAGATAGATAGATAGATAGATAGATAGATAGATAGATAGATAGATAGATAGATAGATAGATAGATAGATTTTTATTTATCCTCTAGGGGAAATTCATGATAATATATATGATGTGCTGTTAACACAATTCTCAATGTTTAATATATATTTTTATTTTGAATTCACAGGACAGGTGCCCACACATGGCCCAGATCAACCGTAAGTGAACACTTTCTATGGATTAGTGTGTAACAGGGTGTGTATGAATAAATGTCTGAGCAGCAACAGAACCATAAGCCTCTCGAACTGATCTTTGATACTTATTTTTTTTAAATTAAGAAACTGGAAATTAAGATCAGTTACAACACATTTCACTGTCATTTTCACAGCAGGAGATTTTTCCTAGAAACTCCTCACACCACTGCAGCGTAGCAGCGTAGCAGCGTAGCACTCTTCTCTGCTATACATCTGTACATTTATGAAAATCATATTTTTGCTTCCTTCAGATTCAAGGCATAGCAATGATCATAGTGCATAGTGCATCAGAGAAGCAGTGTAGCTCAGAACAAATTGAGAAGGAGGGTTAACAATGGCGGTGCAGGTTATTCCAGAGGCTGTATTACAGAAACCTTCTGTCTTAAGATAAAACAGGAAGAGTATAAGAGAATATTTTGGTCTTACAGAAGCAAATCCTGACTTACTTTAGGAGTCCTACCTTATCTAAGGTTCCCAAATACTCAATCCAACATCGGTTATCAACTTTAATGTCTGTTACCTAGCAACCAATGCTACTTTTCTCATCTCATCTCACTGAGGTATTTTAGTAGCCCATTAGATTTCTCACTGAAATGCACAAAAAATGGCCCCTTTTCTCTGAAAATCTCCATTAGTGTATTTGTCAGACATCCAGGAGAACCTCCACTGCTGCTCGTAGCTGCTCGGCTAACTGCAGGATCATGGTCCAGGGTGACCTGTATCCACTGGCAAACGTTTTGTCATCAAACCACAACACATTGTTAGGGTCTACCATGAGTCTCTCATTGCATAACATCCTCCTGTTGAGATTTTGATGGTTGTATAAAAGCAATAAAACAGTAGTGATATGGATGAAACAAGTTAGGACAGATTGACAGTTGTCCTAAAGTTTGGAGAGTTTATTTAAGATTCTGGAAGCTTCTCTTATCTTCAGTTAGGATAAGGAAGATTGACTTAGGAACTATGTATCTATAATGGTTTTTTTCCTAAACCATGTCCCAACCCTAATCACCATGGTTACAGATAAGATGCAAGTTAGGAAGTTTTTTTTCTGTTGTAGAAAACACACCATTGGAAGTTTAATAATGACTGAGCTCAATGACAACGTTGAAGATTAAAAATCACACATAATAGTCATGCTTGACTATTATGTGTGCATGTGTGAGTGAAAAGATGCATTTATCAAATGATGCAAAAACAAGTGTTAATCACACAAGTTTTCATGATCTAGCAAAGATGGTTATTAATGCATTTCTCTCGTCATTACGTTTTCATTAGCTTGTTCACACTGTCATGTCTCACCAAGCAGGAGCACGTCCTCTACCCCCCCCCAAAAAAAACATAGATACTGTATCATTTTATTTCCTCTCCTTTATTGATAAAATTATAAAATACAAATGTAATCCACATCACTATGGAATGTGTAAAATACAAGCCCATAGGTCGTCTGTGCAGCAGTTTATTACAGCCCAGTTTCATGTTATTATTAGACAGCATCTAGTGGTTATAGTAATAATGACAGGAGCAGAGGTCAGGGGTCAGGTGACATAATATTAAGAGAGAAAAAGTCCACCTTAAGAGGAGGTTGGGTGGATGGATTGGTGTACAATTTCTGTGTGAAACCAGTAGTTGTTTCTTTTATCCACGACGGTTCCACAATCCTCTAACCACATTGTTATTACTGTAACCATGACAACGAAGGTCATCTAATCTTAACAATGAACATTTGAGCTATCCACCTAGAGACTCAGCCTTCCCCCCCTTCTCCCTCCTAAATGCAGCAGGCTTACTTTTTATTTAAGTTCAAGGACGAGGGACATGTGACCCACTCGGACTTCACCAACTGCGGTGGAAGAGGCAGGGGGGATAACCACATCCTGTAGCTCCCTGTACAGGGACTTGTAGACCTCTGGTGTAGAGCAGTGATTCAGTGGTTCAGAGGTGAGGCCAGGAGGTCAAAGTGCTGTGCAGGGCCCAATGAGTGAAGGTGAGGTACCAACAAGACCGACATAAACAACAGGAGTAGTTGTAAGTGTAGCATCAATGTCAAACAATAAGGAATTGATGATTGTATAAATGTATCCTATAGTGAGGGGATTATAATTGTTCTTACCTATTACAGTGTTGCTAAAGGTTGGCTTACAGTGTTGATGCTCCAATACATGACTTGTGTATTTTAGATGATGATTCATTTCATTGCATTTGTAACATTGTGAAGATTTGTGGTTCTCTGTTGTTAATGTGTTACCAACCTGCTTCAGGTGCAAAGCTACGTTATCATCCCACATGAATCTGCTCCATTTCGGTCTTCACCGATATCTGTCTTTGTTTTATTATATGCTAGACTCATTGACATTGTCTCTGACGTTTACTCTCAGAATGAATGGCTTACACTCCACTTATTACAGTTCTTCCAGGCTACAATCAACATTTGGCCTGTTTTAAGTTACAGTGTAAGATTCATCTGGGAGCTTTGTGTTCAGTTTAATAACTTCAAAAATAATAGATTTTTCCTGATTTATTTGACATGTTTGCTGAGTACCTCTTCCAACCTAGAACATGGACTAATGTACAAAAATCCCTGTTCTTGCTTTGACTGAAAAAGCTCCACCAGAAAGCCCAATCAAGCTGCTTTATGACTCAGGCCTCTGAAGTATTGATTGTCGAGCATTTTTGCTCATTTCTTTTGGCTGTTGTTTGGTTAATATTTGAATGATATGATGTGTAGCACCATAAGTTTTTTATCTATCAAAATACCAGGTGGGTTATGGATCTACCTGACTGTACGTATGGTCAGTTCATTTTAAGGTCATGCTTGACTGATTTTAGTGATTTTAGTGTGATAAGGATTCAAGTTTTAGGTTCAGAATCCAGATTAGATCAACTACAAATCCTCATAGCTAAGACTCCTTCCCCTAATTAGACAAGATAAAGGTTTGTAGAGGTGAAGATGGATCAGAAGGTTGGTTTGTGTTTGTAGTGTTAGAAGTGTCTGCCCAGAGATAGTGGGCATGTGAAGACACGTCAGCTTACAGTCATACCTGCAGAGCTCTGACTGACTGTTAGAAATGCTGAAGACCTTGTGCTATGCTGCACTGATTGATGCAACCAAATGATGAGGGTAGCAGCTTTTTCTTTCTCTGCCTTGTGGCTTTGAGTCACCAGGACGGGGCTCAGAGCAGATTCCTCAATCAACAGTCAGACACTGGCTGGTGGTTTGGAGAGGCCTGCTCTGAACTGGAAAGAATGCTTCACGTCCTCAGTCAGACCAACCAGGCCTCTTCCAGGGAGCTTATCTCAACGGCTAACAATATGACTCCTTTAATGTCCCACATGTAGAGTCAGGGGAGGGTACGAAGACCTTTTTTATCTATTTAAGCAATAGTTGCTGTACATTTACTTTAATCAGAAAATTCTGAATCCTGTACAGCTCAGGACCTGAACGATCCATCACACACAATTATCTCTAAATCAAACCCGGACCCAACTCAACCCCTTCCTCTCTTCCTTACAGTCATAAGAGTTCAGTTTCCCAAAATGTTGAAATATTCCTTAAAGTGAAGGACATTAAAGGTTATATATTATCCACTTACATCTAACCCATAATGCCCTTCACTTAAATGAATGTAAGGAAAAGGGTAAGGGGTCAGCTAGGGTCGGGTCCAGGTTTGATCTACTGTACTGTACTGTATACAGTGGATGTAACTGGACACAGCAGATTGACCTCAGGTACAAAATGTTGATATGAACAGTAACATAAAGGGAAGAAACCTTTAATATGGACACACAGCGGAAACATAACCGCGGAGAACTGGGAGACCAAGTCCAGCACAAACACAACATATGAGTGACTTCAGCAAAGATCTGAGAGTTTCCTGAAGGTGGTGTGTGTGATTCAAAGGACATGAACATGAACAAGAAAAATATAGGTATTAAAAGTATTAATCGAATAGAAAGATTAGTAACTGGCCACACAGTGGTGCTATTGTAACAACTATGTGAAGCATTTCACCATGTTGTGCACACAGAGCTCAACATCTTTTCAGCTGCGTCTCCATGACAGTGGGTTTCTGATGCTGACATTTTAGAGATTACAAAATCCAATAATAATAATAATAATGATATATCTGCTGATATTCATTATTCAATAACTGAGACCAAGACATTGCCTGAGCAGGGCATTTTAGTTTAAAAATAAACTCATAAGTGGTCTCTGGTGGACCAAGGCTGGGCTACCAACTGACCCCGTGACCCCATGACCCCCAGACCCCCAGCAGCCCCCAAAACTCAAATGCAAATAAGAATGCTGCCATGTGTCCTCTGCTGTGGGCACTAATGGGATGTTTGAGGTGACAGTGTTGTTTGTTTTTGCTCTCAGGTCACGTGAGAAAGGTTTCTGCCAGCCGTACCGAGGCATCGCCTGCGCTCGCTTCATCGGCAACCAGAGCATCTACGTGGAGTCGCTGCAGATGCAGGGGGAGAGTGAAAACCGCATCACAGGTGAGATCATTAGCTGGCTCGACCGCATTCTTCAATAAACAACTGGGTATAATTCTTACTGAAGATATCTGAGATTACATGAATTCAAACATGTGTGTGTTTCTTCCCTCCAAGCTGCTTTCACCATGATTGGCACCTCCACCCATCTGTCAGATCAGTGCTCCAGGTTTGCCATCCCGTCCTTCTGCTACTACGTCTTCCCTCTCTGTGACGAGGGCTCTAGGGGCCCTCGTCAGCGTCAGCTTTGTCGAGACGAGTGCGAGGCCCTGGAGAACGACCTGTGCCACGCCGAGTACACCATCGCCCGCACCAATCCCATGATCCTCATGCAGCTGAAGCTCCCCAGCTGCCACCTACTGCCACGGCCCGGCACACCTGATGCTGCTTCCTGTATGAGGATAGGAGTGCCACAGGAAAAACTAGGTCCATGTAGGTAGATGCTGTGACAAACACATGTGCATGCACACACACATACACACACACACACACACACGCTACAATTTTTGACGTAAAGGCACCCTGCTCATGAGATCAATGACAAATGAATTGTTACAACAATTAACAGCCACAAGTGTAAACCTGTATCACTGACTGGAGCCGCTCAATTCACAAAACAATTCCTAACCTGTTTAATGCACTTGAAAGTACAAACAACCTGTTACTGTCTGTAAACGTCTGGTGTGGGATGATTCATGTTTGTACGTTTTCTCTGCTGTCTGCTTTTCTCTGAACGTGAGTTCTTAACACGAGCTGCTGGGGGCGATGGTGGCTTGCCAAGAGCTTCAGCCATCATTTTGTTGAATACAAGAGGTTATAATACGTCCTCTGAGCAGCTACTTCAGGGTTGACTAGACCCTGCATCAACTGACCAGAGCTAGCTGGTTAGCATGCTAACTTCAGTAGATGAAACGCAGTGATAGAAATAGAAGCAAAACAAGAGGGGCAGGGGGAAGCTTGATGCTGAACTTGCAACATTTCTTCTAGAGCAGTGGTTCTCAAAGTGAGGTCCAGGGACCTTAATGGGCCCTTATGGGGCTTCCTGGGGGTCCTCAGAAAAATGAGGAATAATTTATTTTCAGTGTAATTCCATCCATAAGAAACACAGTGTCAGAATGTGTGACCATTTTGGTCATGGGTCCATTTCTGTAACAAAACATCTGAAAGCAAAAATCTTATCAGATGGGGTCCTCGATCTAATTTGTGTCAGTTTAGGGTCATTGATGTGAAAAAGTTTGAGAACCACTGATCTATACTGGTAAATAAACAGCTGTTAATGCTAACATTAGCTATGTAGCAGTAGCAAAACTTACAAATAGTTCATTTAAGGGGTGTAATTGACCATGTTCAGTCTAACTTAGAAACAAATGTTATAGAAATGTGGGCAGAGGTCAAAGTAGATTTGGTATATAAAATCTAAATACTTTCAGACCGGCACTTAGCTGAGGTTGTTTTTTTTTACAACTCAAAGGCTTTTCACAAATTATCCCACACTTAAAGGTCCGTATAGTATAAAGGTAGATGTCCATGTGTTGTTTGATTATAAAGCAGGTCTAGATTCTATATTAATACTGTGAAGAGAGGCTCAGAGCCTCCTCTCTTCTGATTGGCTCACTGACCTGTTGTTACTAGAGCTCGAGAGAGAGAAGCCTGAGAGAGGAGATGTAAAACTACACTGAGATGGTTTTTGGTTCTTTAAACTACAAATATATCTTCTGATGGATCAACACTTCAAATAAAACACAGGAAAATATGGACCTTTAAGATGTTTTTAAGGAATAGTTTAACATTCAGGGAAACATGCTCATTTGCTTTCTTTCTGGAGGTGAGATGAGAAGATGGATATGAATCTAATGTCCAGTAGAGAGCTGGAGTCAGCACAAGGATAGCCTAGCTTACCATTTCATAGGAAGAAAATAAGCATATTTCCCAAAATATTGAAATATTCCATCCAAAGCATCCAGCTTTATTTAGTTTGCTCCAACATGTGAAATGTAAAAAACAGAATTGAATATGAATAACATGAGATGTCACAGTCCAGTTATAATTTGTAACCATGGTTGCACAAGTTGCACACCACAGGGTCACCTCTCTTCTAGTGTTTAAGAGCATCCATTCTGAGTCACTGTGTGCTCCACAGATTCCCCCACAGATGACATCTGCTACAATGGAAGTGGGGCTGACTACAGGGGCACAGTCAGCATCACGAAATCCGGTCACCACTGCCAGAGGTGGAGCACTCAGCACCCTCACGCTCACCATCTGTCCCAGGATTACCCCGAGCTCTGGTCAAGTCACAACTTCTGTCGCAACCCAGGAGGCCAGATGCAGGCGCCTTGGTGTTTTACCCAGGACCCTCAGGTCAGGGTGGACCTGTGTGACATCCAGCCCTGCAGTAAGTGCCATAATGCAATTAATGCACTCGCAATACTTCACTGGACTTTTAGCATTTTCATTTTCATCTGTGTGGTGTTCTACAGAAGACATCAGTATATCAATAATGAACACAGAGATTCCAGCAGCATAATGGATAAACTGAGCAGCCAGCAGCACCAAATAAATAAATACCAGTAATTCATGCTGATCACAAGCAACAGAACAGCAGCGAGGCTAATCCAAGAAATCTCCAACTATAATGAATCCATAGCTTATTGGCACTGCCAACACAGCTTGTACTGAGCCAAAACATGCCACAGCAGCAGAAACGTAGCTAAGTCCCGGGTATAGCAGAGGCCATGTGGACAGAAAGAAGCCACAGGAAAAGCTGCTGTCCATCCGACAGGCAGAGGCATGTGGTGCACCATGATCATTTCTTATCAGTCACACCAAAATCACACTTTCCCTTTCATGTGTACGTTTCACGTGGTCATGAATTGAATCTTCCCTGTTCAGACCTGGTATTAACATCCATCTTTATTCCATTGTAGAGCTGTGACCAGACCAATGATTCACTTGGTCATCAGATCACACATATGTTAATGCCAGGTCTGAACTTGGCCACAGTGACAGATTCAAGTACACTGATGTCCCACTGAAACCTCAGTTGAAGGAAATATATTTGACAAGTGTCTATTTGACGATTAATAGCCTTTCTTTTTATATTTACATTCAACAGGGATGAGTGTTGCTGGTAGCACAGATAATGTTACAATGGGCACATTACAAATCAGAGGACTTAAGTTGCTGCTATCTTAATATCCTCAGGGCCTCCAGACAACCCCAGGAAGGAGATCCTGTTCATTCTAATCCCTGCCATCGCCATCCCGCTGGTCATCGCTTGCCTCTTCTTCCTGGTGTGTATGTGTCGCAATAAGCAAAAGGCTTCGACTGACACACCACCTCACTGCCAGCTCAGCAGCTCACCCAGCCAGGACATGGAGCTGTCTCTGCTCAGTCAGCAGAAACACCAGGTGATACACACACACCCAGCGCAGAGGCTCAATAACATCCATGTATTTCATTTACATTCTTTGTTCAGTGTTCAACTGACATTAGCAGTGCATTAGAAAATACAGCACCCTTGTTTCACACACAGAGAATCCTGGAAAAATAAATGATTAAGCTGAACTTCAGTGAGGAATTTGCACCATGTGATAATAAATGCTTTAGAACTAGATTTAAACTCAGGGCCCCTCAGATCAGGCTTCATGATTGCAGGCTTCCAATGAATGGAGCCTCAGTTTGACGCTCTATTCAGTCTCTACATCTTCATCCACCTCAAAAAATCCACAGAACCGCTCTGTAGAGTTGAGCTGTTTACTTCAACACAGACAAAAATAATAAGACAGAACAATGTCCATTTGCAAAGTTATTAAACTAATTAACAAAAGACAGAGAGAGACAGAGAGAAGTCAAAAACTGTGTGGCTCCACACATTACCTTACTGACTGGATATCCTTGCCCCTCCCCTTACGGGAACATCAAAGCAATTCAGATGCACAGCAACTAAAAGACAATGACTGTAGTCACCTATTCCCCATATTACAAATGAAACATAAATGATATTCTATATATTTTAAATTATCCACACACACTTTTTAGTGACAGGAATAAACGACTAACTTACGGTGTTACATTATATGAACTGTAATACATACAAACATATGCAATCAAACTAATTAGTCCAACACCACTTAACGACAGTTAGGTTCCTACAATGATTATGTTATAATTCCCACATTTAAGGCCCCTATCCTTCCACTTTACTCTGTGCTTGTTGTGGCTCACACAGTCTTACCAAACCAAACCTTCTTGCCCCCTGAGGGCAGTTGCCTGCTATGACACGTTGGTATTCCAGCCTTGCACTTCATTGGTCATTCAAATACAGGGTTTGACCAAAACACCTGAATTAAGAAATGTTTCATTCCAGTGCTGAAGTACTACATGTGGTCAAACACTGTGTTGACATGTATGTGTATTCCTTGCTTTGTGGCTGCAGGGGAAGCTGCGGGAGATCAACATGTCGGCGGTACGCTTCATGGAGGAGCTTGGTGAGGATCGTTTTGGCAAGGTTTACAAGGGCCACCTGTACGGCACCACACCTGGTGAGCAGAGCCAGGTGGTAGCCATCAAGACTTTAAAAGACAAGGTCGACACCGCTCTCTGTGAGGAGTTCCGCCATGAAGCCATGCTCCGCTTCCACTTACAGCACCAGAACATAGTTTGTCTGCTGGGTGTGGTCACCAAAGAGCAGCCAATGAGCATGATATTCACCTACTCCAGCCTGGGTGACCTGCACGAGTATCTGGTGATGCGCTCCCCCAACTCAGATGTGGGCAGCTCAGATGATGACAAGACAGTCAAGTCCACTCTGGAGCAGGCTGACTTTCTTCATGTCATCACCCAGATCGCTGCTGGAATGGAGTACCTCTCCAGCCAGCAAGTCGTTCACAAAGACCTCGCTGCCCGGAACATTCTAGTCTTTGACAAACTCAGTATCAAGATCCTGGATCTGGGCCTGTTCAGAGACGTCTACTCTGCTGATTACTACAATCTCATGGGCACAAGCTCTTTCCCCATTCGCTGGATGTCCCCAGAAGCAATAATGTACGGCAAGTTCTCCACAGAATCCGACATCTGGTCATATGGTGTGCTGCTGTGGGAGACTTTCAGTTATGGGCTGCAGCCATATTGTGGCTACTCTAACCAGGACGTGATCGAGATGGTCCACAGCCACCAGCTGCTGTCCTGTCCAGACGACTGCCCGGCCTGGATCTACACCCTCATGCTGGAGTGTTGGAGTGAATTCCCAGCAAGAAGGCCTCGCTTCAAGGACATCCACACACGTCTGCGCTCCTGGGAGAGTCTGTCCAACTGTAACAGCTCTGCTCAGACGTCCGGCACCAGCAACACAACCCAGACCAGTTCTCTCAGCACCAGCCCTGTGAGCAACATCAGCATGAGCACAGCGAACGCATCACGCTACACCAGCCCTAAAAAGAGCCTGCCTTTCCATCCGCCCCAGTTCATGGCCATGAAGGGTCAAATGCATCGGCCCATGGTTCCCCCACAGCTCTACATCCCCGTCAACGGGTATCACCCCATGTCACCTTACCCCTACCTGCAGAACTTTTACCCCATGCAAATACCCATGGCCATGCCCCACCAGCAGATGCACCACCCACCACAAATGGTTACCAAAGCTAGTTCTCACCATAGTGGCAGTGGATCCACATCTACAGATTATGTCACCTCTGCTCCTTCCAGTGCCTCTGTCACAGAGCGAGCAGCTTTACTAAGTGAGAACTCCAAGACCAATGATGAGGACTTAGCCGACGGGGCATCCCAGAAAGAGCTGGACCAGAATGAGGACTTGTCAGTGCCTGAAACAGAATTGTTAGGTGACAATGACCCTCCGCAGACTGATGAACTGGCGGTCAACCTGTCAGACACATAAGTGTGTTGCTGTCTGACGGACAGCAGAGCTGAAATATTCTGTGAGCTGTGCTTGCTTGCCAAAAATTCAGTGAGCAGCATAAAGTAAAAGTGACTGAATGTTTTCTATGAGTTTTTTAGCTATTACTGACACATTTGAATGTCAAGTGTGTCTCATGTTTGTACCTCTCACACGCCTGTGTCTTGCCCCCAATACCCACCCCCCCACTTCAGATGACATGCACCTCTTTACAGGCACCACAGCCTACCAGAAGGAATTACTAGTTCAGCAGAAAGCGAGGCTACGTCCACACTACTACTACGTTTCCTCCTGCCGTCCACACCGCTCCAAATTTTTCAGCCCCTTAAAACAGAAACTTTCAGAAACTCTGCTGAACCTGTTTTATTTTGAAAACTCTGGGGTTGTGTTGTATCTGGACGACAGAAACTGAGACCTTTGGAAACAATGATGTAAACACCCACGGTCTCTCCTGATTGGCTCTCATCAGCCTGGACTACCAGTGGTGAATACAACATGATAATGAATTACAGTGTTACTGTAATTGTTATTTTTGCTAGCAGCTGTTGTTGACTTACATTCTGTATTTTAACACTACAGCTGTCTTTGCTGTTCCTCGTTCAGAGGATTTTCTACAACTTATCAACGGCAGAGTAGACAATCTGCTTCCTTTTTACACCGACTCGCACATGCTCAGTGTACATGAGCGGCCATGTGATATGTGTTTTCAGGTGTGATAGTCTGGACAGTTCATTTCTGATACCCAGCTAAAACACTCATCTGGATGAAGATCATTTTTGTTTTAAACCATTGTTTTAAAATGAAAACGTAGTAGTGTGGATGTAGCGTGATATGATCCCTCACCGTCTTCCCACCCACTTAGAATAACAGTTGTGTTTACCACGCTGGAAGTGTTGCTGCCAGGACCCAGAATCGAACCCAGGTTTTTGTAGTGGTGGATAAATGCTGAGCTTGCGCGTATCTCCTTCACCCCTTAAAGACAATTTAATGTTGTTTTTGAAGTTACTATTTTATGGTTTGTGAAACAATCACAGAACAATAGAATGTATGATAAATAAAATATTACAGGAGTTTTGAAAGTAACTTTGTTAACAATTAAATTCACTGAGATGTATTTTTGAACTCACATCTATTGAAAAAAAAAGAAAAAAAAAAAGGACAAAGTCTTATTGAATTTATTTTTTGAAGCCATTGACATGTTTTATTCAATGTGACATATTTCCCACCAGGCTGATATATTTTACATCAACTTTGATAACCAAGTTGTACAGATTTGTAATTTTATTTGTTTATAGTTTTCATTACTGGTGAATATTGCTAAGCCTAGTGTTAATATGATGTTTGTTTGTTTGTGTCCACCACTTTGTTAAAGCGTTTTTTTTTTTTTTGCTTCCCATACATTGTGTGCATCCATCTGTGGGGTATCCAGTAAAGTCATGTGAATAAAATGGTGTATGTCGCCTTGGTAAGAGAAGAATATCACGTGCTGTTGCTGTCACTTTTTTATTATGTTTTGTCATTAAAAGTACACTGTACAGTCATTTATTGTTGATACTAATAAAAGAATCTAAGGAATCATAAACTATCTTTCTGTTGGGTTTCACATTCTAATTACAACATATACATACATATTATATATTGGTTTTATTTTTGGTTTATTGGATTAAAAACAACAGGCGAGCAAATGGCCCAGACAGTCCTTGTGTTTCTGCTGTTTTCCCCTCCCATGTGTATCTAGTTTGTCCCCTGTTTGTCTCTCTCTCTCTCTCCCTCCCTGTGTGTGTGTGTGTGTGTGTGTGTGTGTGTGTGTGTGTGTGTGTGTGTGTGTGTGTGTGCTACCTGAAGCCTGCAGTATTTAAACACCCAGCCCTTCACTCCACTCTTCGTCAGATCGTTCTGTGTATCTCTGTTTTATTTAACATTCGGCCAATTCTCCTAATTCCTAGAAATTTCTTTGTGTTGTTTTTTGAATGATGAGGCACTAACGGGGTTGAACAGTTGAAAGATGAAATGGCTTCTTGTGATTAACCCTCTAGCCTGAAAATCTCTTGTCTCTCTGACTATGAGGTTAGACAGTCGCCTGTGAGAGCGGCGTCGAGAGAAAGCTGGTCACCTACAACAACCATCAACCCATCTCTTTCACAGGAAGAACACATGCAACTAGGTTGAGCCCGGTCGTCACCAGCTGAGAGGCTGTGCCGCATCAGGATGGGTAAGTTAGGTGCTTATATTGTGGTCAACCTAAACCTTTCATTGCCTCCTGACCTGTTCAACCAGTAGCTGTGATCTGTTTTTACTCCTCCATGGAAAGCCAGGCTACAGATTGGATTCAGATGGATTCAGTTGTTGTAATTGTTTGAAGTCTGCTTTGTATCCCACAGAGGGCGCTGCTACTCAATCCTGCCCTGAGCCCACAAATCTGTCCTCCATACCCCCCGAGTATTGTGACTAGGGGGAGGTTTCCAGCAAGGACCTCACCGTCCCCATGACTGCACTATTGATGTGCTCTCTGGAGCCCCTGTACCTTCTGGTAAGGTGAGACAGGTAAAGGTTGCCTTGAAAGAGGCCATGGAGATATAAATCAATGAATCTGTAGCTGCAGGTACAGCCCATCCCTCTTCATCTCCACTTGGTGCTGCTGTTTTCTTTGTGGCTAAGAAAGATCAATCTCTCCGCCCTTGCGATGATAACATCACAGTAAAGAACAAATACCTCTGCCTTTGAGCCCCTCCAGGTGCCATAGTGTCCACTAAACTGGACCCCAGGAACACCTGTCATCTGGTTAGGATCAGAGAAGGAGATGAGTGCAAGACACCGTTCAACACCCCACATGGCCACTTTGAGTACCTGGTGATGCCAGATAAACAATACTCCTGCTGTCTTCCAAGCCTTACTAGATGATGTGGGAAGGGATTTCCTAAAATGCTTTGTTTTTGTTTATCAACATTACATTCATTTTTTCCAAAGACATGTTTGAACACATTTTTCATGTCTGCCAGGTACTGCAGAGGTTTCTGGAAAAAAAAACGGCAGAGGAATATGAGTTCCATGCCAAGACGGTCAGCCTTAAGCAGACAGATGAAGACAGATCCAGAGAAAATTGAGACTGAATTATCGGCCTTGAAAGGACCCCTGGCAGCACCCCTCACAAACTAACATCCTCCATATCATTCAGCTGGACCCTGAGGCTCACCTGGCTTTTTCCTAACTGAAGATTCTCTTCACCAGATCGCCGGTTTGGGTTCAGCCAGATCCTTCACGCCAGTTTATTGTAGCGGTAGATGCATCTGACACTGGGATGGGGGTTGTGTTATCTCATTACTCAGGTCTGGACTGGAGGCTGACAAGAGATACCTCAGAGATGCATCACACAAGTACGCACAAACATACAAACTTTAACACTGCAAGTGCAGTCAAGAAGTCTTTTTTTCTTAGAAAGGTTCAAACTGAGTGAAATGAGCTGAAGTATCTGAGCGGCAGCTATGAGCTGCTCCACCTCTCTAAGTGATGAGGAAAGGAGCTAAAGTGCTTCCTATCTTATCTCCTTTAGTAAAGGAAACACTGGACCTTTCTTTACGAAAGAAAAAGGAGATAGGCCTAATGATGCCGTTCCACAATTCCTTGCAGCAGCAATATTTAAAGCAACTCACCACTGTAGTTTCATAGAGCATCTGTTTTATGCTTGTGACACAATCCAAAACTTATGGAAATCCTTGCAAGACTGGCTGAGCTCCAAATCTATGAATGAAGATTTCCTCTCTTTGAAATCCAGTTAGGAGTCATCATGAAGAACAAGCAGCTTCAGTTTCTTTATCATATCATATAATATCATCATCTACAGTCTATACTGTTACTGTTACCTGCTATGATTGATGGTTAAATGTTCCCTATGTATAAATTAAAAACATCCTTTCTTAGAACACCTTAGTTGAATTGTAGGCCTACAGCATTGAGTTTGCCACTGTACTTCCTTGTGTTATACATAAAGTTGGTATAGTAAAAAAAAAAACGGTGCAGTAGGATTCTCTCGGCTCAGTCTTTTTGTGTCCAACTCCTTATGAATTCTCCTTCACATCCTTCCTTGATCTCATGATGTTTTCCACCGAGGTCAAGGAACAGTGGTCAGAAGAGGACATATTTTTTCACGTTTTGACCGCAGCCCTGGACTCACCCGGAGACTGGTATGTAGCAGCCATTTTAACTCTGAAACTCTAGGTACAAACGGGATTCAACTTTACACCAGCTGTAGCTATCCAACAGTGACCCCTAGAGGTGTTGAGTAGTATGAGTAAATGAAGCGACGCATCAACAGAGAGGCTTCACACGTGCACAAAACAAAACAAAACAAAACAAAACAAAACAAAACAATATAAAGTAGAGTATCTTGGAGTAAAAAATTATTTTCTTAAAATGTATGCTTTTTTTTTTTTACTTTAACACACCTCTTTGTGTTTGTAATCATTATCTTTGTCTTTTAATGAATGTCTCCCACTTGCATGTTTTATATTTTTATACTGCCTATCACTTTGTCCAAATTCATTAAATTGTGTGCATATGTTTTATTTCAGTCTAGGTTTTGTTGATAATGCTTATATACTTTTAATGAAATAAACTTTTGTTTATAATTGATTATGTTTACACTTTGGAGTTGCTAAAGATCTGAATGCTTCTTCCTGCAGTGAATATCTGTATGACATTATGAAGTTTGTGCAGGTGGTGGTGGTTTAGATATGGCCCTCAGTATTGTAATTGTTTTTGCATTTTTAACTACTACTTAATGACGTAAGTAATACTCATTCCTCTTCTTCTCCTTCTATTATTATCATTATTACCATTATTATTATTATTATTAGTAGTAGTTGTTGTTGTAGTTGTAGTAGTAGTTGCATAAGTTTATTCATCAAATTATAAATTTTACATAACAGCTCCATCTGTTAATTTAACACAACAATATTTTGTTTATTAGACATAAATGATATAGCAATAACTACATTTACATATATTATGTATATAACATATTAGCCAATATGACTGTATATTACACACAGCCTTCAGTAATTACTGTGTAACATTGTATAGAAAGTTGTTTTTTGTGTACTAAACACTTCTGGTTGTAAAATCAAGTACTTCGTGGTGAACTACCGCACATGAACGCATCATACACACTGTGGGTGACGACATACATTTATATGAGATTTGAGCGCTCCGTTGAGGCCGAGAGTCATTGGCTGAAATTGAGAAATGCTGCGCTCCGATTGGCTGCAGTGGTTGTCACTTAACCTCACACTGCCAATATACTTAACCACTGACCTACTAACACAGATCCATGAGTCAGGAGCCACCTTGAAAGGAAAAAGCCACGGGAGGAGAGTGAGGTACCTCTCAACTTGTAGGATTTTATCGCCAC